ATGCTCCACCCCCTCCACCCCCTCATGTCCACCCCCCTCCACCCCCTCATCAACACATGACCCTCATCATATACCTCTAGTAACTCTCTGGTATCCCACTGCCTGTTAAGCGCCTTCTGGATATCCATGTTGTAGTGGAGACGTTTTGGGTCAGAAGGCACTGTTGCTGTCTCATGGACACGGACCTGTAGAAAAAGACAAACCACAGGGTTATCCTACACTATGTCCACACATGATAGCCCAAGGTTCTCTTGCAGCAGATATTATAAGAGTTTCTCAAAAACAGTGCATACAGTGTTAGAAATGATCTCACTGATGTCTAAGTAATACCCCCCCTTCAAACAGGAAGGTTTGAGAACAATTCTTTGGGAATGCAAAGTTTTTTGTCTACAAAGAGCATGTCTGAGGTTGTATACAAACTGTACTGTAGAGGGCAGCACCAGACAGTGTCCAAACTCTAACTTAAAGGTCTCATAGTGCCACTGACTTGGTGAGATGATATCAGACTCCCTGTTAAAACAATACCATGTATAAATGCAAACATAAGATAATTTATATGCATCTTTTTGAGAGAAATGATCTCCATGTTTTTTGTTTCTTTACTCAAGGATATTTACATATGATGAACCTCAGCTGGTTAAAGTTGCCAGATAATTCTTACTTCTTTGATTTCAAAGCCGAAGTCATCCAGACCATCAAAGGAGGTGTTTCTGTAGATGTGGTTCACCCTGGCGATCAGCGCTATCTGGAAAATAAAACAGCAAAGCAACATCAGATAGGGAATAACTGAAGTTGAATTTCCTGAATTTTCAATTTTTCATAAATCTTAATTCTTAATTAATTTTTAAAAACCCTTATCATGTGTTTGTCTGCGAGTGTATGTTTGCATGCATACTGACATGCAAATGAATTAAATATGTATGTGCTGAGATATAAAACCTACACTGCACCCTCAGTGAGGACAGAACATCACCTGAGAACTTGTCTTCTGCCCTCCTCTTCACCCAACTACTTGAACTAAATTCCTACAGGAAATATTCACTACTTACTCTCTCCTTGCAACTTTCTACAAATAACAAATAACTGTATCTTTTATAACTCACCAAGTAAGTGGTGGTCCTCTTTAGACCACCCATCTCTTCCTCCGCACCGCGCCCCATCTCCTCATAGAACTTATAGTCTGCCACCAGCAGCAGCGGGCACCTGCGCCGTGTGAAGGTTGTTTGGCGTTTGGCACGCGATGCTGTGTCATCATCTTTATCTGTGTCTTCCTCACTGGTGTCTGTGGCATTCCAGCCCTCTTTAATAGCACCACAAAACTGGGAGCTGGAGGAGAAACAGGAATACTAGGAAGTTTTTATGTCAAAGACTGAGTTCGTGACAGGTGGTTATTACAGAAATAATAAAAATAATTACTCAGAAGAAAACATTTTACACTTCTTTGATACACTGGACTATTTTAGATAACATATTTCGAACTTTATCATTAGGCAGTCATTGAACACTGCACATTAAAAAGCACATGACACAATTTTAAAGGGACAACAGATCTTCACAAAAAACAGCAATGTGAAGAAAGAACAAAAGCAAATGTTTCTATGAAAATTCCAGTTTTAATTGTGATTGTACAGTAAAGACACGACAAAATGAACTTTTTGACAGCTACTGCACTGTTACAGCAGGAACTAAATATGACTGTAGTTAGTAATACCCAATGTGGTTAGGATGTTCTCTGTTGAACTCCTTCTCCATGTCTGACCCTCGGTACGCTATCATGCTGTAGTTTTCTGACTTGGATAGGTGGCGCCACGAGGGCTGCAAGACAATACAAAACCAAAGTTAATCTCTATTCAGTAAGACTGCCATATTCACTTTAATGGTTACCTTGTAAAAGATACTGTTAAAGCCATCATACCCTAGTATCTATTCAAGCAGTTTGACTCTCCCCCCCCCCCCCCCCCCCACCCTATTTACCTCAATAACATAGGTGTCTTCTGGTGTTTTGATGGTAGCTGACAGGTCTTTGTCTTCAAAATACGCCAGGACACTAGAGTCTGGCTCTCCTGGAAGTTGAAATACTGGGTCACAGTGACTGGGTAGTAAAATGTTAAGTGATATGGTATAGGTTTATATCCTGATATGTTCAGAGAATAATATTCAACCCTGCAATAACAGCTCTTTTCTTAACTGCTCTCTTCAATCTTAAATGATCATCACCTCGTCACAGGGCATTCAATAGCACTATAACTACACCACATTTGGTGGGCACATTTGGCACAAGAAAACCAAGATATAAAGTTTTTCATACAACATAATATTATAAGTGTACTTCTTGCCTTTACATATGAATATGACACAAAATTGCAGAACTCAATTACCTTCTCAAGGAACCTCTGGCATGAGAGTTCATCACCATTGCTACCTCTCCCTCTTTCTCTCATATTTCCTCTCTCTTTTTTTCTGTCTCTCTCTCTCTCAGCACACACACACACACACACACACACACTCACCCTCTACATATCCACTATACACCTCATCAGGGTCTACACTAATGGTCTTCTTCTTCCCCGCACCATCTACAGCATAGGCTTGGAACCCTGGCGACAGCAGGCCACGCTGGCTTTGGAGGAACAGATGGAACCGCCTGTAACACAACAAAGAGAGAAAACTCAGCAAGAAGAACAGATGGAACTGCCTGTAACACAACAATGAGAGAAAACTCAACAGGAAGAACAGATGGAACTGCCTGTAACACAACAATGGGAGAAAACTAAACAGAAAGAACAGATGGAACCACCTGTAACACAACAAAGAGAGAAAACTAAACAGGAAAAACAGATGGAACCGCCTGTAACACAACAACGAGAGGAAACTAAACAGGAGGAACTGATGGAACTGCTTGTAAAACAACAATGGAAGGAAACTTAACAGGAGGAACTGATAGAACTGCCTGTAAAACAACAATGGAAGGAAACTAAACAGGAGGAACTGATGGAACAGCCTGTAATACAACAATAAGAGAAAATAATACAAGAAAAACAGATGGAACTGCATGTAACACTACAATGGAAGGAAACTAAACAGGAAAAACAGATGGAACTGCCTGTAACCCAACAATGAGAGAAAACTCAACAGGAAGAACAGATGGAACTGCCTGTAACATAACAATAAGAGAAAACTCAACAGGAAGAACAGATGGAACCGCCTGTAACACAACAATGAGAGAAAACTCAACAGGAAGAACAGATGGAACTGCCTGTAACACAACAATGAGAGAAAACTCAACAGGAAGAACAGATGGAACTGCCTGTAACACAACAATGAGAGAAAACTCAACAGGAAGAACAGATGGAACTGCCTGTAACACAACAATGAGAGAAAACTCAACAGGAAGAACAGATGGAACTGCCTGTAACACAACAATGAGAGAAAACTCAACAGGAAGAACAGATGGAACTGCCTGTAACACAACAATGAGAGAAAACTCAACAGGAAGAACAGATGGAACTGCCTGTAACACAACAATGAGAGAAAACTCAACAGGAAGAACAGATGGAACTGCCTGTAACACAACAATGAGAGAAAACTCAACAGGAAGAACAGATGGAACTGCCTGTAACACAACAATGAGAGAAAACTCAACAGGAAGAACAGATGGAACTGCCTGTAACACAACATCATAAGCCTGGATCTACAGTGACAGCAGATTGGAGGAATAGTATTATTAAGAATTCATTAATTTCTTGGTTAAGGAATCAACTTATTACCATTTTTGTTCTTTTTTAAACTCTGACAAATATTTACGCCTTGATTCCGTGAACCTTCTGATGCACACAAATATCAGGGCATACTTAACTCAGCACCTGTGCTATATTTCATGGGCACAGCTGAGATGAAAAAAGCCAAGATATGTAGTTACTTGGTTTATGTATAATTCAATTGAACTGTGTGTAAAAGAGATGAAATGCCAAATTTATCAATACACTCAGTATACTTCTGTCTTGGGAGTTGAGGTACCTTGATATCTGTAGAACTGCTTTTAGGATGCCTGAAATTTACAGTAATGGACTAATGGAATCATGTGTCAATTCTTGGAAGTTATAAAATCAATGCAATAACAAATTCCACCTACCTGCCCAGTGCACTAAAAGCCACTTCTCTATGGCTTGGTGTCTGTGTGTGGAGACTACGTCTATGTATCACATGTGAGAAGTCACGGTGATGTAGCGTCTCAAAGTAGGCCAGGCGCCCAGTTAATGTGGCTGGAAAGAAATGAGGTGTCTGTTAGATAGAGTGTTTGGGGTTGAGAGAGGCAACTGCCGTGTTAGAACGAAAATTCAACATAGCCAGTACATATCAGAATTGTCAAAAGGAGTGCTAAAGAAGGAATCTTCGTGCTACTGCTGTGTGTGTGTGTGTGTGTGTGTGTGTGTGTGTGTGTGTGTGTGTGTGTGTTTGTTTTGCTTGAAAACATGACATGTAAGTCAAAGCAGAAGAGACAGAAATTACATTGAAATAATAAAAATATGATAATGTTGTTTTCAGGATAAAAATTATATTGATATGACAATATACGATCACTGTTTCTCAAAACAGACTTCAAAACTAAGTGAAACAGCAGATAGCAAGTGTTAGAATAAAACTTTCACTTTGTGCTGAGTCAAGTTTAAACATGACTGCAAGAACTTGATGAAAAATGTCAACCATCTCAAGTTGGTGGAAACGGAAAGACCACCCTACTTACCACAGTTTACATGAAATAATAGTACAGATATGTACACGGTGATCATCCCGATCCTTTCCATCGCATATTAACGAAATAGACTGACTGAAACTAGGGAGTTTTCTTGATTATATACAGCTCTAAAATACCCGGAAAATAGGTCAACCAGCCGACAGCGCCATGTTATATTTGTTTTGGATGTTCTTCGTAAGATGGCAGCACCATCTGGTCTTCTTTGGCTTATCTTGGCAGGTGCCCTGTCGTTCACCAGGGCTTTTTGTGTAAATCAAAGCAATATAACTATGAAAACATAATTTTATGTCTTTTTGCAAAATATGCCTGAATAATTTACCTTATCCCTTATTAGATCCCCATTTGAAGATGACTTCCCAATCAGATCATCCAATGGCATTTGTAAGCTGTATTGAGTGCGGGTGTGTGACCTATTTCCGTTGGAAGGCGATGTACGCTGTTGCTGTGATACTGCCGCGGAATTGTTCGTTTTTATAAGGTTTGTAAACTTCTCTGGGCTAAAAACTAAAAATATCATATATGTATTAATCTTATCTGTAGAAAGTAATTGTTGGAATGTGAATTGTTTCTTTGGCGACTGTGATATGAAAATTTACATCCTAGTCAAAATGAAAGCATGTGCTTTTTTTCTGGAAAACACCTAAACGATAAAGTATAAACCTCATAATCATCTATAGCTTATGGCGTTGTAAAAACTCCCGATAATGAATTTTTTGGAATAGTTCAGTCTGTATTACCAGGTGCTTACTCTTTAATTTAATTTAATTTCGTTTCATTTAATTTGTATTAAAAAGTCATCTACTTGTCAAATTTCTAATGCAATGGTGCATTGAAAGCAGTAATATCAACTTACATTTTTAAAACGTGTGAAAATGTGCAGATTTACCATTACTACTTCTAGAGATATTGGTATTAACCTTTCTTATAGAGCCCGTAAGTTGCACTTTATAAGTTAGACAAAAAAGGCATAATAATAATAATAATAATAATAATAATAATAATAATAATAATAATAATGTAATGATTACTCCCTTTTTCCCTTAATCTGCATTTCACCATTTCTGATTTCTGTTAAAAAAAAACAAACAAATTATCCATTTTGAAAAGAAGAAACGAAAGAGCAGGTTGCCATGATACTTATGTTGTTCTCAATCCAATGATCACTCTGATTTATTGCTGAAAACTAATAATCTTAATTAATTCCCCTGGTCACTGCTCTAAGTCACCCAGAGTTCCTAATGAACAGCTGGAGTTCTTTTAAACATGGCTGTAATGTTAACATCTATTCCAGTCCACACCAGTGACAGCATGGCAGAAGATCCTGCAGTGCGCACGGCTGCGTACAACGCAGGCGGTTACTGCACGAAGACACACAACATCCCTGTGGAACACTTTGAGTACTCTTACATAGAGAAGTGTAACAATGTGAAAGAGCTGGAGAAGATATTGCTGGCTTTAAGGTCAGTTTTCAATGTATTGGAATTAAAATATGTCAGAGATTCTGCTAAACTTTTACCTTCTATATCCTTTGGACAAAAAAAAGGAGGTACTAATCTTAACGTGATGATATGTTTACTACATTACATTATATCATTTATTGATTAATAATTGAAGCGTGTGATATTTTCATCAGTGGGCCACTCTTGGTCAAAATTCTTGAAGTGAAACCTTTTAAAGAAATGCCAGTATACATATTTAGCCATTCCATCTTAAGTAAAGAGGACGTTAGACATGGCAGTGCCCAATCTGTAGATATGTTTTTGTCCTTACCCAGTTGGTGAATAGCTGTAAAGCTAATGTTACCTTTCAATATATACCTGACATGAAATAAAATTAATTGTATTGTATTGTATTCAGAGATCCTTTACAGGCCCATAGCCAGCAATTTCAAAATGGGGTTCTTTTTCTGAAGAGGTGGACCATTCACCATGAAACTTTTGTGCACCGAGATTAAATTTTCCCTAGAGGAGACCTTCTCCCAGCAAAAAGGGGGTTCTTTTGAACTCCCAAACCCCTCCTAGGTATGGGCCTGATATAGCTTGACTTGAAATGTGTTATTACCTGTGGCGTTGTTTTCAGGTCAGGAGAGGAGGGGGTGTTCCCACACTTGGAACAGCAGTGTGAAAACAAACTGAGGAACCTTCATCCTGAGAGGTAGGTCAAAGGTCACAGGGAGGTCAAAGGTCACTCACTTTTAAAATAAACTTGGCACAATTTGTTATAATAGTATATAAGATACTGAGAAAGTCAGTGTAAGAACTCTAACTGAGCCTATATGAAGAGGTCATATTGATATTATTATTATTATTGCTTGGCTATAATCACAAGTATGTGTACCACTTTGATATCAAAGTATTCATTTCTATATACATATCTACTCTTTGTGATCAGCCGAGTATTGAGAGAAGTTAAACCTATTGGGACATTGAGGGACCTCAGCAAGGAAGAACAGATAGAACTGAAAGATGACCTCAGTGTAAGTTACTACTGCCTGAATGTTTGTGTTGTAAGGATATATTACACCAGATGCCAGATGTGTAGAGGAAGTTTGGATTGTTGAACTGCTGAAATAAAGGATAAGAGTCTTATTTTCCCTGATAAAATATATCCCATTAAAGGTTGTCAGAATTTATGAGAGTCTAACATAGTTTTTGTACACAAGCCATCGGTCAGATTCTGTGCAAAAGAAAACCCGGTGCCAGCACTTTGATGTAGAACTTTGCATATTTCAGGACTGGCTACAGCAGATGAAAACTACTGACACAAAACTGAAGACAGAAACTGGAATTCTGGGAGATGAAAAGTTGCCACCTCCACGAGCCGTAAACACCAAAACTGTAAGTGCACTGCTGACCTCTGGTGGTCATTACCACACAAGTCGTGAATTAGAATAATATATTAAATAATCATTTTCTACACAAATATTTGTCATCATGGAAACCTTTTCTCTTTCAGAATGAAGCAAAATTAGCTAATAAAAGTAACAAATCCAACAAGCGAGTGAAGCCGAGAGACTACAAGGAATGGGACAAGTAAGTGACGTGGTGGGGTGGGGTGGGGAGGGGGTGGGGTGGGGAGGGGGGTTACATAGGTGACAGATATTTTGGCAGGAACATATTTTCATATTTATCACACAGGATTAATTTTAGGAGTAAGTAAAGGATGTTGACTTGTAAATATTTCATCAGCGCAGACCTTGTTTGCTGAGAGACCAAAAGAGACTTGCTTTAATTGGAATTTTGTTAATAATTATTATGATACTCTGTCAGAAGAGGGTGTGTGTAGACAGTGTAGCACTCACCACTGAACAGACAGAGAATAAGAGAAAGATTTTATGTTAATAAGTATGTAGTATTCTGTCAGAAGAGGGTGTGTGTAGACAGTGTAGCACTCACCACTGAACAGACAGAGAGAACAAAAGGAAGATCCTTGAGGTTCAGCGTCAGAGATATGGCACTGAATGCGATTGGTCTTCTACACAAAGCTAACCAGTAACTATTAGTATCTGTGTATATCTGCTTCAGTTTTAAAGTTATAATGGTTTTGGTATGGTGTTTATTTTCAGGGTTGATATAGATGCAGAACTGGAGAAGATTGACAAGCAACCAGAAGAAATCAAGGCAAAGTCTGTCAATAAACCTAAGTCTGGTAAACTAGTGGATACTTTAGATCCTACAGGTAAGTCTGCACACACACATACGCACACACACACACACACACACACACACACACACACTCAAGCGCACGTACACATAAACAGGCTGTGTAGTGAAATACCAGTACTTGTGACAACTGCGTCACAATTTTATTCTCTCTCAAACATTTGAGATATTTTGTGGTTACTTTTTATTATAATTAGTTTCTATAGGATGTACTATCGTGCTGCTTTCCTCTTAGGTTTAACACAAGCAGAGAAAGAGCTGAAAGCCAGCAGGGAAAAAGACAAAGGAAATGAGGTGAAATTTTGAATATCAATGTTTGAATTATTTTTTCTGTCAAATTTCAGTAACTGTGAATAAGGGTGCAATTACATTACTTTCGATATTGCATTATCTTGGTATAAACTTTTTCTCCTCAGTGGAGTTAAATTCCTCACAATATTTGATGTGTTTAATCTGCTCACATCACTGGGTGACCAACATGTATCCCTGACCCAGAGATCCAGGAACATATGATGTATATAACAGGGACAGATCCAGAGATATTTTTAGACAGTCTTCCAAATTATATTTGTTGATCCATCCTCCTTTTCACTGTGTTCCGACAGAAAAAATTAGATACCCATCAGAAGACCCAGAAGACGGCCTAAATCTGCCCCTGTAAAACATCTTTATTTGCTGTATTCCAGGCATTTCGATCAGCAGATTACCAGGAAGCAGTGACGTACTACTCCCGAAGCCTGTCTCTCTGTCCCTCTGCTGCCTCATACAACAACAGGGCCATAGCTTGTGAGTCAAAATGTTATATTGGTTGTTACAGATGTGAAGTTATGTTATGTTGGTTGTTACAGATGTGAAGTTATGTTATTATAATATTGGTTGTTACAGATGTGAAGCTATGTTATATTGGTTGTTACAGATGTGAAGTTATGTTATGTTGGTTGTTACAGATGTGAAGCTATGTTATATTGGTTGTTACAGATGTGAAGCTATGTTATATTGGTTGTTACAGATGTGAAGCTGTTATATTGGTTGTTACAGATGTGAAGTTATGTTATATTGGTTGTTACAGATGTGAAGTTATGTAAGTGGAAGAAGGCAATAGAAGACTGTGATCAGGTGCTACAGCTGGAGCCTGGAAACATCAAGGGTAGGAACCAGGGGCATTTCCTCTTTTAACAGTATTTAATATGCCAGTGAAAGTTACACATTCTCTCTTCACAGTCCATATTTCATATTTCAGCGTGCTTTCGCCGAGCTCTTGCCAACAAAGGTTGTAAAGACTTCCAGGCAGCCAAGGAGGACCTGGAGCAAGTGCTGACTGTGGAACCACATAACAAGAAGGCACAGGTAACAGAAATGTGTGTATGTGTGTGTGTCTGTATGTGTGTGTGTGGGAGAGGGAGAGAGGTCAGATGTGAGCACCATTTGACTACTTCTTGGCCCTGCTGTATATTCCTCAGACATGAGCTTTTTCTGTGGAAACACGAAACCTGCATTTTTTAATTCAATTCTGATGGTTCATGAGTTTTGTCAAGATCTGCAATAAATTAATTAATGTGTAGAAGGTTTTTAAAACCTAGGCTCATGTCTGATTCCAGGAGCTGTTGCAGCAAGTTGAGGAGGAGCTGACCAAGGTCAAGGACAAACCCAAGGGCAGACGGCTGGAAATAGAGGAGGTCGGCAGCTCAGATTCTGAGGGAGAGGAGGAGGAAACGAAAGAAAATGAAGAAGTCTGTAGTGATGAAAATGATGGAAGTAAAAGTAGTAAACTAGTAAATGGTTTGAGCAGCCATGACAGTAAAACTGTGGAAAACAGCAATGACATAGCTCAAACAGGAAACTGTACAGCTAGTGACATCTGGGGGGAAGGTGAAATTGAAAATAATGCTGAGTCATCGTCACCTGTGATCTCAGCAAAACCTGAGAGTGACAAACAAGAAGAAACAAATCCATCATTAAATGAAAAAGTTGATATAGCAAACAAAACTGTTGACTTAGTCATGGAAAAAACAGACAAAACTGTGACTGTAGACCCTCCATCAGAGGTCAGTAGTGACAACCCTGTCCAAGAGGCTCCCAAGCCAAGAGTTGTCCTGCTTCCTGTTCTGCCTGCCAAGGTGTTAGAGTTGAAGGAAGAGGGCAATACTCTGTACAAGGCAGGCCAGTATGGGGAGGCTATAGAGAAGTATACCAAGGCAGTGGATATACTCCATACTAGTAAGTCTGGAATCTCTTGTCTGTGGTTTGGATTGAGTCATGGGGTTGTTCACTTTTCCACAAACAATGATGCCCATGTGCCAAATATTTTATGTGTGTAGCATTCTGGTTTTGAAATGTGCACTGTTATTTCTGGTCAAGAAGTTGCAGCATCTCGGGCTACCCAAGGTAGGCATGCACATATGACCAGCAGAAATAAGTTAACCACAAATTTTACAGAGCTGAGATAATGATATTTAAATCAATATTTTTCTTGTCTTGGAAGCAAACTGTATTTAATTCTGAACATTTTCTTGCCAGTGCCTGATCACTATGGTAACCTGTCCACCATCTACAGTAATAGGGCTGCTTGTAAATCAAAGATTGGGGACTGCAGTGGCTGCATCAAAGATTGTGATCGGGCGCTGGAACTGGTTCCACATTCCATCAAGCCTATCTTGAGAAGAGCTGCTGCTTATGAAGCTTCTGAGAGGTCTGTTTTAGTCTCAAACTGTGCTCTGACAATGGAATAACTTTTGGATATTGTAGACTTTCAAAATAAATGAATGTTCACTGAGTTTTACTAAATTCTTTATCTGTATAAATCAGAGTTGAAATACATAATTGATATTATTATGATAAAGATTTATTTTTATTTTTCCAACCATCATATTATTTGTTAATTACTGAATTGTGACAGATTTATTTCATTTTCCATTGTGTCAAAAATATATATTTTATATTTTATATATTATATTTGATCAGGTTCCGTCAGGCATATGTTGACTTTAAGTATGCATTAGGCATTGATGGTAGTATACACTCAGCTCACCAGGGGGCAGATAGGTAGGTTACAGGACAGACTTAACATTCTAAATGTATCTTGTGTTTTTTATGTTAACAGTGTCTGCTGTAAGTTTTTAAAAAGTTACATATTATGATATCTAAATGAAATTGTTTATTATTATCTGTGGAATTATAAACATATCCTGACCACTGTAGGTGTCGCCACATGCTGCAGCGTGAAGATGGCGTCAGGTGGCGGGAAAAGCTGCCTCCCATTCCCTCAGTCCTGGCGTACGAGATCCCTGTCTTCACCAGTGACAATTCAGCCATTCCATCACCAAGTGTCACCACTGCAACCACGTTATCTGCCGCTGGTGACAGAAACGAAAGTGAAGCAGACAACGGTGGCAGTCAGAGGAGACCATCTGATGAGGAACGTTTCTTTAAGCTAAAAGCTCAGGGCAACGATGATGTTCAGAAGGTATACAACTCTTGTTACAGTAGATTGTTACAGCTTATTTATGTCACAGAGGCCGTATATGGTTACAACTTACATAACTTAAGAATGTTACAGCTTGTGTTACAGTTACTTTAGATTATTACAACTTAGGCTACAGTAGCTCTATATTGTTACAGCATTTTCGTATTGTTACAGCTTATATTATAGCATTTCCAGATTGTTACAGGTTTGGTGTAGTGTTATAGAAAATTAACTATTAATTTTTAAACTGAAGTTTAGACATGTTGGTAATGAAAGCATCTTTCCAACTTAAACAACTTATAAGACCAATATAGCTCATTCAAATAATACTTCCAAAAATGAGATTTAGTTATAAAAATAATGTCACCCACCATTTTCAGGGGAACTTCAAGCGAGCCATTGAGTCCTATACACAGTGTATCAGTCTTTACCCAGGAAGAGCCGTCTCCTATACCAACAGGGCACTGTGCTACCTGAGACTTAACCAGGTAATGTCTTAACCTAGACTTAACCTGTCATAATCCTATGTAATATCTAAACTTGGATTTTGTATGCCATGTCCATTACTGTAATTTATATATGTAAGTCTGTATGTGTCCGTGTCCTGTCCATTACTCTATGTCCTGTCCATTACTCTATGTCCTGTCCATTACTGTATGTCCTGTCCATTACTTTAGTCCTGTCTCTTGCTGTATGTCCTGTC